TATTAGTATAGATTTATCTATTTCATAGACAGGAGGAGATTTATTATATACAAGTATATGTTACAGCCAAAGTAATAAATCGTGTTATTATGTGTAATAACTAGACATTATGCATAATGTGTAAACTCTTTTGGTCAAACTGATTAATAAAACTGAATTTATCACTTTGTCTTGATATAATATCTAATAGGATTTGGTTAAAGTGATAAATAGGAATATGTATACCTATAAAAATATTCAGCAAATCATAAAGATTTGAACATATTAATGCATAAAAGGGTATTACTGATACAATAGATGACGTACAAACGATTACAACTAATTTAATAGAAGTCCGTAGGACAGAAATGGCTAGGTTAGATTAGGTTCGGTTAGAACTATGATCACACCAACAAATTCTACTACCCTTGAATTTGGTTAAGGGATAGCGTGTATATTTATAAATTTAAAAGATAGAACCCAAATCTAAATTCTTTGTAGTTTTATTTATTACTTTCGCAAAACCCAAGTAGTTATTAAAAACAATATCTAGATAAAGTGATTAATTTTTCACAAATACACTGTTTAGTAATTATTAATAATATCAAGCGCAATTATTATACATAATCGTAAATTAATAATTATACATAATGATTAATTAATCACATTGGCTCTATTTATTAGTTGTTGGTCATTTGGTCAATAAATAAGAAGTTTTTTTTTTATAAAAATAGATGAGTATAGATAAGAATATTGCAACACGTTATATTTTATTGAGTAATATCTTAAAGTACTTTTATAACTGTCGTTAAATTTACTATAGTGACATCATAACGCCAAAAGTATGATCTGCCCATAAATTATTCCAACGTTATCTAATCATCTTAAATACATATAATTTTAATTAATCAAATACTGCTATGTAAATTACTGTCAACAAAAATACGAATCAGTAAAGAAGTTTCCATTCGTTAATCAAGTAACAATGAGTCAACAGATTTTCTTTCGTGCTCATATATGTTTTCCTCGTTTCTGTTATTTCGATTATTCCATCTGAAAGGTTATTTAGAGTTTATGTTATATATACCAAATGCAGGTCTATACTAATACTGGTTGCTTTAAAATTATATTTTGTAATTTCTAGAATATCTTTAAATTCTGTCGATAGATCTGTCGAATTTAGAATGGCAATCGTTTCTTTTTCGGTTCCCATTTAAACGTGTTTGTTTTTAATAATTAAGCATTTAATGAAAGTCCCTAGTTCTATCGAATTGTCTATGATGAGCTTTAGAAAGATTAATTTTATTATAAAACCAGGACTGCAGTTATTACCAGTGCCAGACTAAAACAAAATAAGTCAACATGTGTCAATTCGACGTTTTCTCTTGTCATTGTCAATTTTAATTTAGGCGGTCAATGGTTTAAACCAAGTACTAATTTTAGTCCTCGTTTGAGTCTGGGTGACTTGTTTTTTTTTCAAATTCTACAATCAATGTCAAATTTACTTGCAAGTTGTCAAAATGAGCAAAATATGGTAAAATAAGGTCTCTGAAATATAAAAAATGTAAATGAAAAAAGTGTTCAACTATTTAACAGGGGCTTGTAGTAAAAATGTACGACATGACATCCACGTTAGCAAGTACTAGGTACTATTCTCGAAATTACTGAAAAAAAGAAGAAAATTCCTCCTTACATTCCATAATGGTGACGACTTAATACGCACTTAAAGCATTGACAAATACGAACATACAAATTTCATCCAAAGTTTCCGTTTTATCTTTTGAACAATTGGCTATCGGTAAACACATCATTCTCTATGACTAAAGCAAATAGTTCTTAATCACAATCTTTTGTTTGTTTTCATTTCAAAGATAACGTTAACGACCTCTTTTGTTCATGGCATCAAAATGAAAATAATGACTTAAACAGGAATGTTACGTAGGTTTTTCAACGAGTGATAAAATGTTCAGAGTTTATTTTCGACTATTCGAGAGCTTAGTGTCCATTTAGTAAAAGTATGAATTTGACTTTTATATAAAAAAAAATGGAACAATAACAATAATTTGATCCATATAATAATTATTTAGTTTGTTTTTTAATTTATATATATTGCATCGTTATTAATAGTAAAACTATATCGTTATTAATAGTATAGTAAAACTATACTTTTTTTGTCATAGAACAATCGAATCTTTAGTTTAATTCTAAAAGTCTAAAATGCATAATCCTCTTATTTCTTATGACGTAAAATTGTGTAGTAGTAAAGTAACAGTGGCCTAGGAATAAAATTGGCAGACACACATAAAAATCTCATTTTAGTATTTTCAGCAGATACCTTTAGTCTATTATTAAATAGTTCTCATGTCACCCAGTGATTCGAAAAACGTTCCGCAATGTATAATTATGATAATTGTATTACGGTCTGACTGATTAATTTCGTAATCTTATTTAGATAGCTATTTATGAACGATGTCACACATTAAAAACACGATTTAAAAGATGAAATAAAATTATGACGATGTAACTCAATAAAAAAAATCTATTTAACTTTGAGGATACTGATCAAGTTTCTATGACATCTTCTTTGTGACGTAGAAGAAGTGTTTTGGAATGCTAAAAGCTTTTTAAGGGCGGTTACATACAGTCGATATTTTGGTTCATAATTTATAAAAAAAGAAAATTATACTATATAATCAATATCTGCCTAATATATCCAAATCTTTAAATTCCCAGAAACGTCTCCACATTTTTATATGGAAAAAGGCGACATTAAATTATTTTCACATAATTTTCCCGACATAATTCTCCCGCTGCCATTTCAATTAAAATGGCAGCGGGAAAATTATGGTAGATACATATGAGTAGCTCTTATGATGCGCAAACTAGACTAAATTTAAGTTAGCACTTTTATATATTGCGTTTTCAATTGTGAAAATATATAAAATAACAGAAAAAATCATATAATACTACAGTATTATAATTACATTTCATTGTTGACATGTGACTACGGAATAAAGTTAAAACATTCCCTTATAAAAATATGTTTTTTTTTTTTGTTTAGTTTAGCTTAGTTTACAACAGTATATACAACAGAATTGGCATCATTGTCTTCATTGACACAAATGAAAATGAGAAAGTTTTTAGTTTAGAATTTGATGGAACTCACAATACAGAATAAATAAACAATACATTAAGAAAGTTTTTATATTTATTTCTACAATGCCAAAGTTTAATTTTGTAAGTTTAAGCAAACTAAGTTGTGTAATTCAAACGGTTTCATTCTTAATTTTTGTTCAGAGCGGACTCAATTGTTATTTCTCAACTGAGTCTTATTACTATAAAATAAAGTTATCAAAATATCCAATCACTATATTTTAACAGAAAGCAGAATCATAAACATCCGACTTTATGTGACCAGCCTAATTTTAAATCGAAGGAATATCGTAGACAGGTATTCACAGCAGTACATCAGGGGGCCAATTCTACTAACGGATCGAAAACGGATCGAAACCGAACGAAACTACAGTTTTTAATGATTTTTCTATTCTACAAAGTGACATACGATACAATTCCAGTTCTATTTTAGCTGGAATTGTATTGTATTACAGATGGTACTACAGATGTTCCAATTTCTGCAACTTTTCAATTTGACCTTAAAATATTTGCTATATATAGGTATTTTTTACTATCTACTGAACTTATGTTCATCTACTTATATAACGTCCTAACCAATCCGACGTCTAGTCGAATCGTTTTTATAAAATGATGGCTTCTATACTTTCTATTGGTTGATAGAACAAGATTATTTTTTCACTAAAACATGTTACATAAGCTTGTTTATAAGAATTTTATAATTATACTGGATATAAAGTCATAAGTGACGTACCTTCGTAATCGATTTTGAACTAAGTTGACGATATATAAAAGTTTCTTATTAATTGGAAAAAGATCTTTTCTGGTAATGAGAACTGCTGTGGATCGTACAATCGTTACCAACTTTAGAATGTTCAAATATTTTCAACAATTCAAGTTTAGTAAATTTCGAATAAGCAGTTATAAAAGTTAAATACCTTGTCCATAATGGAAATTTTAAGCAATTTTTTTATTTAGTTGTATCGAAATTCCTATTGACCAATGTCTATTTATAACGAAACGCGTCTATTATGCGCGTAGTTCTAAACAAGGTCCAACTCTAAAGCTTCAAAAAATTACTAAGTAGATAAGTTGCCGATTGCCAGTTGGATATGAGGGTAGGTAATGTCTATGTTCTGTAGATAATGTAGTCACGGTATGATATTCCATATTATATGTAATTACTGCAATTCATTATTAGCCTTAATACCATGATAGTTCAGTTTAAATCAATTGCAGTTTTCTTTTTTAATTTTATGGCAAGTTGATTTGTTGCTTTATCTACCGCCTTTCGTAGTTACGTTTCCGTAAAATGATTGAATCACATTATCATATAGTATGTAGTATCTATAAAAAGTGTCGAATCTATAGATGGTCTGTCTATGAGTTCATGTCATGCCGAATACCTTGAAGGGTAGGCAGAGAGAATCGAGCACCACAAGGCACTCTCACATGTTGTCTAAAATTTTATATGCGATTACTAATAATTATATTTATTGATAAGAGATTACCCTTATCAAAATGGGTAGCAATACAAATCGAAATATAATAAAAATCGAATAAATTCCTCCCCAATAAATTATTATGGAAGAAATATAGTGCATGGATGAACCAAAATTCTCATAAAACTATGTAAATCAATGTAACCTAATAAAATAGAGATTTAATGCTTAACTATATAATGTAGTGGTCTGCTTTGGCCTCGTATTATTGTTAGTTTGATGTTTTAATTGCAAGAAAACGTAAATTTGATTCCTGACAATAATAAGTATAACCAATATTTTATGTTACACTTTTCTCCAGACCTCAATATACGGGCAGTTTTAAAAAAATATTGGGGTGATAAAAGATTATCTTATGATAGCACGTTGATAAACATAATTACTTACTTTTCTCTAAAGTAGTCTGATAGCTGGTTCACCTTCCAAACTATTTGCAGCAGCAGCATCAGCAGTGTATGGTTCAGCCAGGTGTAAAGTTTGTAACAGCTCTCCATGACTCTGGAGGCGTTCTCTTCGCGCTCCCACAAAATTTTGGATAAAGAACACTCACTCATCCGTAACTATCTATTAGCAAGTGAAATTCGCGAAATCCGAATAGCGAACGATTTGAATTTAGAGAAATGGAACGTATTCGAAATTCAAATTTGTTTATTGTCCGGACTAATGTGCGGCGCGCTTCGAGTACTAAAACGGTTTGACTCGCCGGCTTATCATTCGGTTCGAGTGGTTCGAACTAAAATAATCGGCTGATTGTGGTCGACCGTACTCGGACGTCGGTGCACGTGAACTGAGAAGCGGCCCTGAGGCGCGCACAGGCGATCGTATGACGACAGATGACTCAGTTGCTATGTTTCATATTGTTGTTGATAATGTCCAATATTTTTTTTTTTCTCGCAATACATTCCTTACTTATATTGTAATCTAGTATTAGTACAGGTGTAAAATATTACGATACTACCAATACTATAAGTAGTCTGGTAATTTCTGAAAGTCAATTAAAATTGGAAATGTTACATCAAATCTACGTAAACCTAACTACATGATAAAACCATACTCACCAGCTACGAGAAAAAAAATATCGTGAATAAGAATTGAAACCTAAAAATTGAACTGGAGTGAAAAATAAAGTTCTAGATCAGGGGTTTCCAAACTTATGTCCACTGGCCACTTTGAGATTTAAAAAAATTTTAGCGCCCCTATTTTTTTCACCTACTTGAAAACTACTATAACTCAAAATTACATTAATTATTGGTAGTTATATTAGCGGAAATTAAAAATTCTTTATAAACAAGACAAACGGACCGACAAATAGACATTGAAATTTATATTAATTAAATAAAACAGGACAGATATATATAAATTACATGGAGAGAAATAAAATTAATTAACATTATTAGTTTATGTTTACAACTTGAAGTCGTTAGTCGAAGCTCAGTCAGTGTCGAAGAGTCCTCATAGATTACAAATCGCCTCCCTAAGCCTCTACACTACACCCCCATTTTTCTTTCGAGTATCTTGCCGCCTCCCTTTAGGCCTGCAGCGCCCACAAGAGGGCGTTATTGACCACTTTGGGAAGGGCTGTTTTAGATTAACGTTCTATTACTACATGACTGCTACAAGTTGCATTTGTAGGATCACAAACACGTTTTTAACGTTAAAATAGATTTAGTACCTATTTACAAATTGAAATGCCCCTAAGTATGATTAAAAGAAAAAAAACTTGTTATTTCTCCTTCTTTGATAGTCTCACGCGATACTTTTATTACTTCGTCAATCTTAAATGGTTATTATTAGATTCGTAGAAAACATAATTTCAAATACTAGGAATGAATTTTAATTGCGATTTTCCTAAAGGTCTTGGTCTTAAGTGATTGATTTCTTTTTATTAACCGAAATATGTTTTACTGGATTGTCATTATGACCAGCTTATTAGTGTTCTCACTGTTATTTCGTAGGCCTTCTAGGGATGCAATCAAATCGTATAAAGAATGAGACATAATCCAGCATGCATGCCCACTGCATATTGATGGTTGTTAACGGCTGCAGCTTAATATGCCTTCTGAAGCACGAAGGAGATCTCGATAATAAATATTTGGTAACCCATCCTATGACCGAACGAGCTAACCACTGCACAAATTGGACTGAACCGAACTGGATTAAAGATACATTCAATTTACCGACATCTTTTGATCGATACAAATGTAACTAACGGAAGACCCATCAAGCATCTCATGGAAGTATGCTAGGACCTTACGACAAATATATGACTCGACATAAGAAGCAATTTTAAAATCAATATGGAAAGAAAAGTAGAAGGAAAGAGAGGTAATCTGCTATGATAAGCAGACTATATAGAGAGCCTTAACAAAGTCGTCGGATCAATATACAGAATGATTTAAGAGGAAGGTTTATACTCGTATATATAATACTAGTTTTTGCCCGTAACTTCGTTCGCGTGGCATAGTAACTTTGGGCAACATATATTTTTTAAAGTGCTGTTGTTTTTCGAGCTGATGATGAATTTACCTTGATGTTTAAGTTCGAAGATACTACAACAAAAAAAAACTAACAATATCCAGTATTTTTTAGCACATTCATCTTTGAAAACTTTAGAGAAATAATCCAATCCAATTTGAAATACAAATGGAAAAACACACAAAACTTTTAACAAAACGTTTACACAAAACTTAATAGAAAGCGTAATCTATGCAAAATTCTTTGAAAGAAACGTTAGTGCAGATTACGTTAGAATAAACGCCATCTAGTATTAAATTTCTTACTACATTATATAAGTTTACACAAAACTTAATAGAAAGCGTAATCTATGCAAAATTCTTTGAAAGAAACGTTAGTGCAGATTACGTTAGAATAAACGCCATCTAGTATTAAATTTCTTACTACATTATATTTTAAAACTCAATCTTGAGCAAAACAGTGCGATGTAGAATAGTTAACGCCATCTAGTACAGTTCAAAATATGTAAAAAAATTGTTTCTTTATGTAAAAATATTACTCTCGCGCATTTGATGCAATTATTATTGACTTGCTCGTTGTCAAGATGAAGTACTACGGTTTTGACAGTAATACGCTACTCTGGTTCCAGAGTTATCTGCTAAATCGAAAGCAATTTGTGAGGCTGATCCAAAAATAGTGGCATTAACTTAACGTCGACTCCTAAACCCGTATCCAGGGGTGTTCCACAGGGCTCTATATTGGGCCCAATTCTGTTTATTTTGTATTTTGCGGATATGCAGAATTGCTTTATAAAATGTTGGTATCATATCTATGCAGACGACGTACAGGTGTATATTTCTTTTAAGCCAAAAGATTACGTTGCTGCAGTGCAAGACCTTAACGAGGAGTTGAATGCCATCAGCAAGTGTTCGGAAAATAATTGTTTGGTTCTAAATCCTTCAAAAACAAAATATATGTTACTTGGTACTGCGGGGATGATTCATCAGTTACCCGAATTACTTGACGTTCAACCGATGTATGAACCTATCGGGAGAGTGGACGCGACTCATAATTTGGGGCTAGTTTTCGAAGCGGCCTTGCGATATGAAGGACATATAGCTAGTAGGTACTATACAAAATTGATTTTATCGTCTTAAGTGCTTTATAGAATAAGACCTTTCATATCAGAAGAGCTACGTGTGCGACTGGCTTGGCTAAGCTCAATTATGCGGATACTGTATACGGGTCTAGTCTATTGGCTAGAACAAACCGGCTTATACAAAGACTGTAAAATGCTTGTGCTCGTTTTTGCTTCTCGATACCGCGTAGAAGTCATGTCACGCCATTCCTTAATGAACACCAAATTCTTAAGATGAAATCCAGACGAAAATTGCATCTCACCTCTCAACTTTTTGGCGTCATAAACTCTGGGGAACCCTCATATCTATACAGCAAAGTATGTATGGTTTGGTAGACAGAGAGAATATAATGGAAGGCAACATGCTAAACAATTAGCTACCGTGACGCATAGAACTGCAGCATTCAGGGGAAGTTTCCGATATGCAGCTCCCAAAATTTGGAACAACAGTCCTCCGCCTTTGCGAAATTGTGATAAAGTATCATTTTGCTTACTTTTAAAAACCACTTGCGTAGATATTTAATGGATGCGCAGTAAGGATTGGGTAATATCAACATGGATATTTCTTATATATAGGTTTCTTTCAAACGTTAATACATGCATCTCATAAATTTTCGTATTTATAACATCTGTAGGATATTGTGTGATGCAGTGTGATGAATTTTGTAATTATTAATTTAATTGAGTTAAAAAGATGATAATATGAATTAAAATTAGTAATAGTGATAACATAATAAACTTTGAAGTAATTTTTAACACACACACACACACACACATATATATGGTATCCGTTCTAATATCCATAGGTCAAAGGAGGGTACTAGTTGAAAATCAGCGTTAGCTAACAAATGCTGAACTAGTCACCCTTTTTAGTGCAGTCATGGGATGCCAAATTTGAAAATCTTAATGTTTTATTATATTTTATTGTCTAATATTGTGTATTATATTTTTTTTCTTTTACATGAACTGTGTCTTGTGTCTGTACTAGAATAAATGAATTTCAATTTCAATTTCTTTGTTCGAAATAATATAGATTTTCAAAATAATAAGTTTAAAAAAAATGCGATTTAGAATTAATTTAATACCATTTAGTGTAGATCATATATACTATATAGGATAGGTCCATATAATATAAAAATATTTTTTCTTTCGTAAACAAAATTACTTAAATTTGAACATTTTTATCCATAAAAATTTCAAAAATGTAATATTTACTCAAATAACAATTTTCTTCACTATACAATAAAACATTATATAAATAATATGAGGTAAATTTATTACAATGACAAATCAGATTGTAAACAATGGTTGCTATGGTAATATTTCGATTTCCCATAAAATCTTTCACTCCCATTTTTATCCCTTTCAGTGCTAGTTTTCGGGATAAAATATAACCTATTACCTTCCTAAGGATAAAAACTACCCATATACCAATTTTCATCGACATGGTCCAAAAAAGTTTCATGCAAACTTTTTCACCCATTTTGACCCCCTTCGGGGTGGAATTTCCAAAAATCCGATCTTAGTACACCTGTACATATTAAGGGGAATGCTCCCTCCAAATTTCAAGTTTCTACAACCAGCGGTTTAGGCTGTGCGTTGTCTGTCAGTCAGTAAGTCAGAACATCTCCTTTTATATATGTATACATATCAGCTTCCTGACATCGCATGACAGGACCATGCAGTAACAGAAAGCTGGTATATAATAATTTGAAACGATAATAGAATTTGCGTCATAATGCAGATGATGTTTCGACATGCTTATATGATTTTAAATAATGAATCTAATAAGTTTAATAATAATATTTATTAGAGCACATCGTATTTTTAGACCACAAAAGTATAAATGAAATGTTTATTTTATTATCGTTGTTGAATATAGGTCTATCTAAATTGTAATAGATATCGTTTTTAAAATTAACTGGATTTTCCAGCGTGTATGTAGATAAATATTATTTTTATCTATGAAAAAATTGACCGATAAATTTATCTTGTTTGATTAGGACATATCTTCTTTTTGTTATTGATATTTTTGTGTTTATACGGTTACTTTAAATTGGGGTTTTAATTGCAACTAGGCTCGCACGATTGAAAACTAATTACTATCACATATATTATGGTTGAAAATCAAGTGGAGAAATTCAAGTGGAGAAAGACAATTTTGTATAAACCTGTCATGCTGTTGGCTGTACCTTTTTGAAACCTGTAAAGCTTATGGGCAAC